AAAAAAAACAAACAAATCTTCAGCACATACAGGTGACTCCTACAAGTAGATCAGTGTACTGTAAAACTATTTAGTGCCTTGCTCTGTGGTTAAGGAAGCAGCAACAAGCTCACAATCTATGATGGTTATTTTAAAGAGCACTGCCACGTTCTTTAATGGGTGAAAATTCTGAACAACATGTGGAGACATGAACACGTGTCTCAATGTCATGTCTAAAGTAAAAAAATTTGTTATTAAAGAAATACTTTGGCAAAACTTCAGAGGTTGGTCTGAGTTTCTGTAACATCTGTTTTAATAAACAATGCACTGAGCAAAAGCAAAAATAAATTTATTAGCGGCAGGACATGTTACCAGTGTGCAGATAAAAAAATAGGGTGTTTTGTTTTACTAAAGGTCCTGTCACACTAATGTTTTAAACAAATTATGCCAACTTATGAAATGTTTGTCTGTTACAAATAAAAGTTATATTTGATCAATTTGTTAGCATTACAGTAAGTACACACCTGAAAGAGGCTTCAAGTTAATTTTTTAATTCCATCTTCAATGTAGATATCAGGTTTTTAAAGGTCATTATATACAGTAGGTACACCTGAAGGGGTTGACACACACAGATTTTTAATGTTCAAACAGATAAACTTTATTGCAAATCTTCACTTACTGCAACATGTTCTAATCAATCAGGGACAGAGTCATGTTTCCCACTGTGTTCCATCAGCTTTCCTTTTAACAACACTCAGTAAGTGTTTGTGAACTGAGGACACTGATTGTTGAAGCTTTGTAGCTGAATTCTTTCTTTTCTTGCTTGATGAAWAACTTCAGTTGCTCAACAATCTGGGGGTCTCTTCATAACGCTCCACACTTTTTCAATGGGAGACAGGTGTGGAGGCAGACCAGTCTAGTTCCTGCACTCTTTCACTCTGAAGCCAYGCTGCAGGAACACATGAAGGWTGTGTCTTCATTGTCTTGCYGAAAYCAGCARGACGTCCCTGAAAAAGACGTGGCTTGRATRKAYRTATGTTGCTCCAAAGCCTGGATGTAGCTTTCAGCATTAATAGTGTCTTTACAAATGTGACAGTTACCCATGCTATAGGCACTAATACACCCCCATACCATCAGAGAGGCTGGCTTTTGAACTCTGTGCTGATAACAATTCAGACAGTCCTTTTCCTCTTTGTCCTGGAGGACACCATGTCCATGATTTCCACAAACAACTCAGCTCCAGCAGTACACAGCAACGACCCACCTTCATTGGATTTGAGGTTGTATATCTCTGTAAACGTCTCATCATTTTCTCCTTCTTTCCTCACTTTCTGTCTGGTTCAGCCCTGAGTTTAGTCCCTGAGCAGGACGAGCTGTCTCCCTGGTTGAGTCCAGTCCTGGTTCTTCCTGTTCTTCAGCTCCTGTCCTGTTTGGGCCTCACCGAGCCGCTGGCTGACCCAACAACACACAGCTTGAGCAGTGATCTCGCCCACAGCCTGCTGCGCCGCATCAGCAGACCTGCAGATAAACCTCGCCAGGTAAAACTTCTAATGTTCCCACAGTCAGTTCTGACCTGCTCATTCTCAGCCTAACAGAACTGAGACCTACACCTGGCTCTGGTTAGATAAAAACTAAGAAAGGACCATTTTCTSTCCAACACAACCCTCTGAGAATACATTAGTGTCGGTCTTTATCTAATGCCCGTGGAGAGATAAGAAAATACTTMTTTACATACAACCTAAAAATGTTCTAATCTGAATGTTTATATTTGCATAACAGTGACAGTTATATGCAGGTGCTGACCAGTAGAGTCACTGCMGATATATGACAGTGGTTCAGTTCATTTATAAACAGAGATCTGTTCTTTGTTACACTTARTAAGTGTTCATTGGTCATTAATGTTGCAGAGCTCTGTTTGTTCATAAAGCTGCACAAAGCTTTACCTTTTGTCTCTTTTAGGCAGAATATCAGGAGAAGTTTGTAATTACTGTAAAATGAGTAACTTTTAAGCTCAAACTGCAAACTGAAATCCTGAGGCCATCACCTCATGTTGCAGCGCAGACCTCCCATACAGTAATAAACTTCACATTTTAGCTGTGAATAAAAATCACAATTTCCATGTAWATCAATATATTAAAACCAATATTGTATATTTTTTCTTTTAATATTGATACTATGTGGATACTAACCCCTAATTTACACTAAACGTGTTCCTGCTCCGCTCCGCTCCGGTCCGACCTCTGCAGCAAATACGCACCCATTATAGTCAATGAGAGTGTTTACACTGGCTGCGCACGGCTGCAGTGAGCGGACGGTGATCCAGCAAGATTAGATCCGATCATATTTCTGACGGATGCTGGAGCTGTGCCGGAGTCAATTTTTAAAGATTACGTTGCTCCAACAGGAAGAGGAACGAGCACAACATCCGTATTTTCAAAATAAGATACCATAGTTTTGTCGAAATTGCAGCTATATTAACAAATATATGGATATATTTCTACACAAATACTGTCAGAATGTATTGTTTTGTTTGGGAAGCAGATGGCAACATGTACATGAAGCATATGTGTACACACATGATACATGTGGATTTTATTTTGAAATCAGAAGTTTTAAAAAAACGACAGCAATACAGTTTCAACCATAGAAATCAAAAGCTTTTAAATCAATGTTTTCAGCTGTGTTTGGAGTTCGTCTTTCACAGAATTAATTATTTTTTGCTCTGACTTCCACATTTATCAGTGGATCCTTCCTGCACACGCTCCCTCCTCTGTCTGTCGGACCGGAGCGGAGCTGAGTGAAGTGGAGGCTGTATAAATTGGGTTGCAAACAAACAACTGCGAACTGTGCACCGCAGCGGAGTGGAGTCGCATGTAGTGTAAATCCAGGGGTAACACATGTATCGTTACACACCTACATCACATTATGTGTGTGTTGTACTGTATTTTGTTACCCGTTTGATGACCTACATGTCTAAAGGGTTTCATAAACACTAGAAAAGGTTTTCAATATTTTTCTGTTGGTTGGAGTATAAGACGAGTTTTTCTTACAACAAGGTTCCTGCAGATCCTTAAAGTCTTAAAGGCATTGAATTCATCTATCCAAAATTAAGGCCTTAATTAGCCTTAAAATGTCTTAAATCAATCATTCAGTAGTTTTAAAAAAGTTAACACATTGTAAATAGGATGATTGTAATTTGTCTCAAATATTAAAATAACTGGTAACATTTATTTTTTTAAATATTTACWTGCAGACATTCCTCTTTGACATCACTTCCTGTTGCTTCACATGCAAATATCTCAACAACTTTCTGGCTGAGCACCATGAAATTCACTTCATAATATGTTAATAATGTTGTCTGTCCAAAAATGTATTCACATTTCTTACAAAAAAAAAAAATTATGTTACCGACACTTTAAGGCAGGGGTGCCCAACCTTTTTTGAACCAAGAGCTACTTTTGAAGTCAGCAGTTTGCCGAGAGCTACTCGTCCGGTCTCAGTATCAAAAAAACATAATATGGTCTCCCTACTCCTCACTTCTTTAAAGTAAATAAAACAGAACGTAATGTGTAGCTAGTTTTATTTAATTTAAAGTATTGTCAAACAAAACTATCTACTTAACCATATATTTACCTGCAAAAAAAAGAAAAGATAAAATCCTTACTTAACTCCTGACAGTGAAACAGAAAAGTGATGCTTGAACAAAAAGGATCAATTTTTTTTACCTTCTTCAATTAGTAATCACTGTAACGTGCGAGCTATGAGGGCTGAGAACCCTTTCCAGTGTGAGAACCACAGAGTCTAATAACTTTGGAGCATGGGAACTCGTCTCCATTTCTTCAAAGAACTCTCCTCTCTTCTCTCCATACCGGGGAGGAAAAACAAAACAAAAATCTATCAGGGTCAACATGGCTACCACGAGAATGCCGCCCTTTTTTTTTTCTTCAAAATCAAAGCACACAATATAAAACTCTCTCGCAGGCTGTTATAAAACCCGGTGCTGAGCTTCCAGGACCGGTTTCACCTGAYCARATCTGYTCCTTTTATTGCCTGGAACAGATCCATCAGRTGGGTTTCTGAATTTTATGCATTTTTGCAGAAATATCGGCCACCAGGGGTTTCTGSCTGAATCCAGGYGGGAGAGCAGGTGCTGGACGTAGGACCATGGTTCCACCTCACTGGATCTCTTCTTTTTTTCCCCTGCATCAGCACAAGCAGCCCCGTGCTGGAAATCAGCATTTTCACCCGCTGAAGCTCGCCCGACTACATTCGATCGCTTATATCTCCGTGGGGGAACGTCCCAGAAACTTGCAACCACCTCCAGTTTGTAGAGGAGGASCGTAGCTTTCCAAAGTCATCTCACTTTCCCGGATCCGATGCTCAGAGCCCGCAGGAGAAGCAAACGAATGTTGAAATTTCCTCCCAAAAACACGCGTAAAATGCACTAAGTCGTGCGCAATTTGCTTATAGCTCTGCGGGGCAATGTCACAGAGACTCCATTCAAGTATCAGCTTGTAGGGCAGAATCAGAGCTTTAAAACCTGACAGCCACTCCGGAATCCAATGCTCCTAGCCCGGGGAGGGGGGTTAAAACCACCTCCGGTGGAGGTCCGACGGTGCATAATTTTGGAGGTTTTTCGCTTATATCTCCGCGGGAGAACGTAGCAAGGACTCCAATCAATTCTCCTTGTGGGGGAGAGCCAGGGCTTTAAAACCCGACCATCCTTGCTGGGATCCGACACTCCTAGCCTGGGAGGGGGGCTAAAACCATCCCGGCAGGATGTCAGATGGTGCATAATTTTGGAGGTTTTTCGCTTATATGTCCGCAGGGGAACGTCGCAGGACGTCATTCAACTTTCACCTTGTAGGGCAGAACCAGAGCTTTCAAACAAGACCAGCCACTTCTGGATGTAACACTCAAAGCCGACGCTAGAGGCTCCGCAGCAAGGTTGCGCTGCGCGGGCACCTGGAAATCAGCTGGCGGGCGACCGCCCACCCCTACTTTAAGGTTTCATCTACAGCAAATTGGGGTTGAGAACCCACTGTGGGTCCTAAATCTCCAAATTTTGGGTCATTAGAGAATTTCCAGGAAATGAAGTAAGTTTAAAACTGACTGCTAAGAATGTTTTTGCTATATTTGACAAAAAAGCAGTTTGATTTGGTTAAAAACAATTGGTTTATTAGGAATATTTAAATACTTCAACCAAAAATACTTGGATTCATGAGTTTCTGCCAGTTTTTTTATTTTTATTTTTGTCCTTTGTGTTTATTGTGTAATTGKTCTTAAATTTAATTTCATTTGGCCTTAAAAAGTCTTAAATTTAATTTGCCTTAAACTGTAGGAACTCTGTACAACCACGTAATTATGTAAGAAATTATGGAGAGTAATTGGTTTTGCAATGTGAGTGCACATGCACAATAACATTCAAGCTCACACCATAAAATAACCTTATAATTTCCTRCRTTTCTTATGTGGACTGTACATTTGAAGTAAATACTCAAAATTTTGGTAGTTTTTCCACAAGAAGAAAATTTTAATTTTGCAYGAATAAATATGAAATGGGTTGGTTACTCTGTTTTATAAAAAAAAAAAAACTACATGAAAATGTATTTTTCCAATAATATGTTTATTTGTTCTGATAAATGTTCAACCTACTAATTTTAGGTTGTTTATTCAGTTGTACAGTCCACAAAATGTAACATTTCTGAAACCCAGTAATTAGAATATACCCTATTTTTTCAAGTATAATACGTAAAATTAAATCCATAAAATCATCCATAAAGTTGGGGGGCGAGGTAGTACTATACTCGGATGGATATTTTTTGCTTATGTATTGTAACTGAAATATCRGCTTCATTCACAAAATGCCTGAGTCCGGAAATGAGACCACGACGTAAAAAGCAGTTGAAACGACCTTACCTCTGACACTCTTTCGTGCCTCAGAGCAAGATAGTAACAGATCTAAGCAGGCGATWTGATGTGAAAAAATGGGGGGRAAATCCTGGTGGACTATGGGTAAAATGCCAGAATTCATATGATGCTGCTACAGCTGATATATATTTGTTGTCAAAATACCTTTTAGTACATATATTGTTAAAATAAAATGTACAGTCCAAAGATCATTTTACTGTTATGTATAAAGACGGCAAAGGCTGAAAAATCTTGAAGTCTGTATGAAATTGGAGGTAGTTTGAGGATTAAATTTTTTATGCTTTTTAAGCTGAAAAAAAGGGGGGGGGTCGTATTATACATGAGATCATATTATACACGAATAAATACGGTAAGTGTTTTAATATACTTTTGAGTTTATGAGCTATAAACCAGAGTAAACCCAGTAAATGTGAAGCTCAAATTTCCCAGCTTTTCAGCAGCCTTGAATRCAGTGTTGTACCCGTGAAAATCTCAAAAGTCAAATTGTCAGTCGAGTAGATCTGTGCAGATGTTGTTGCTCCCTCACTCAAATCTTGTTGTATGTGTGCTCCTATTGTGAGAGGTGTTTCTCTCCATAAGAAATGAAGTAATGTTAAGAGAACATGAAGTCTGTCTCCCGTTGCAGTGTCTGAATGGTTTCCGATCTGAAGTTGTGTTTATTTATTTATTTCTGTCCGTCCTTCAGCCTGGCTCGGTGTTGGCGCTGCCTCTCACTTCCTGGTACAGTGAGCTCAGCGTGGCTCTGTCCATACTACGGACCGCGGCCCAGAATCCACCTGCAGCTGCTGAGTGGCTGCTGGCCGTGGACTCCACCCTGACGTCCAGCCAGCGCCTGTCGCCCTCCCTCACGCTCGTTGTGAGCCATCTTCTCATCGCGGGTCAGGAGGATGTCTGCCAGCTGGCTCTGAAAGTAATTCAGGCTATCGCTGCTGCCGACCCCTGCCAGGTAGAAAATCCAACATTTTTTGTCACATTAAAGTCTCATACAGTCATGTGATGATGGAAATTATTTTCATTACCCACCACCAGAAGGTTTACTAAGACAAGTCATCCATGTTTCTGATTACATTCAGATAGCAGAGAATGTCCAGGTGAATGTGTGTACAGATCTTTAATATACACCGAACACAACATATAAACACACACAACATACTGTACAAACRCAACACTTTTGTTTTTGCTTCAGACCTAAAACATTTTTTATCTACACAATAAACCTTACTTCAAATATTGTTTAAACTTTGTGTAAATCTGTGTTGGGGGCACTTGTCCTTTGCAGAGATAATCCATCCCACCTCACAGGTGTGGCATAGCAAGATTCAGATTAGACAGTATGGTTATTGCACAGGTGTGCCTTAGGCTGGCCACAATAAAAGCCCTCTCTGAAATGTGCTGTTTTATCACACAGCACAATGCCACAGATGTTGCAAGTTTTGAGGGAGCGTACAATTGGCATGCTGACTGCAGGGATGTCAACCAGAGCTGTCGCCCGTTAAATGACTGTTCATTCCTCTACCATAAGTTATGTATAGTAGTGTAGTGTGTAGTGTAATTTCCCTTTGGGATCAATAAAGTATTTTGAATTGAATTGAAGTGAAGCTGTCTCCAAAGGAGAGGAGTCAGCACAGTAAAAACCAGAGTGTTAACATTTCAGTGTTATTTTAACACTTGCTGAGTAAACTGACTTCAAGTGTTGGTGTTGATTCACAGTGTTGATTTCTTCAGTGTTGTCTCAACACTGGACAGTGTTAAAGAAGCTCCGCCCACTGTTAAGTATTATATAACACCTGTAGGGGTCACCTCGAGTGAAGAAACAGGAATTACTGCCTGAAAGCAGGTCTCGCACAGGCCTGAGAATTGGCAGGAACTGCTGAACTCTTATTTTAGGCCATGACGGGTCATTTCAACCTATACGAGGACTTCAGTTCTCTTAATCAGATATTAAACAGAAGCAATCGGTTCTGTTCATGATTTTGTTCAATTTGTGTAAATAAATGATTGCATAATCTTTTATGAATCAACTTGAACCCTGTCTAAGTTCCCTAATTG